AAGGGAAGGAGGAAGGGAGGGAGGGAGGGAGGGAGGATAAGGAGAGGAAGGGAGAAAGGGAAGGGATAAATAAGAGAAAGTAGGCAGAAGAGAGGGAAGCTGATAGGAAGGCTGCTTTAAATATTTGAAAATTTATGCTTAATAAATACTGACAAGAAAATACAATTTGACATAATATTTCACATTTAAGCAAGACTGCATATATCATTTCTATGTATAATCATTTAAAGGCAATGTAGCATTATAGCCCAGGCATCTGAAGGCCTGTGTCCATCTTAAGTAAATCACCAGAGCTCTGGGAAGTCAACCTCCTCTCAGCATTCATCTCTCAACCTTCAGAGCCTCTATTTATAAGATGAAGGTACTCAATTAAGTGAAATAAGTCTAAACGTATTTCCAACTCTATAAGAGGGTCTGGATTTAGTTCCTCTCGCACTGAGTGATTTATGTAGCTCTTTCTTCTCTCAAGTAGTCAGGGCCAGTGTTTCATGTCATTGTTTTTTAGTCTCTGATTTTTCCTCACCACATCTAAAAAGAGCTCTTCTATTTCTGCTCAGTGAAAGCCAGATTGGTCTGACTTTTATTTACTTATTTCATTTAAAGATAAAGGATTTTCTAGTAGGTAATAAATATCTTACCATATTGTATGAGAATGGAACTCCATAGATATATAGATATAGATAGTTAGAGATATAGATATATCTTTTTTTTCCTACTTATCCCAAGCTTTGTTCTTCAGTTTTCTTACAATTACTTTTTTATGGCATTTCAAAAAGCATGACTTTTTTCTAATTTGTCATTTTATATTTGCTCCATATTATAGCCTGAGTATTTTCTCTTGCTATGAATTATTTGTAAGTATTATTATAAATGTCTGCATATTCTATCATCAACAGATGTGGACTATTTAAGCTGTAGTCTAGCATCAAATGTTGAAAATATAGCAGCAAACAAGATGTTTTGTTGTTTGTTTTCTCAGTATTTTAATTGGAAAGATCCCCAGTTGTTAAAATTACTAAATTAAATTACAAAAACACCTTTTAGTTTTCAATTCATGTTAATAGTCTTTTTCCCCCCAAATTTCTAATTTCAATCAGCTGTGCCCTAATGTCTTTTTCATATGCCTTTTCCAGCACAATATTGTCTGTTTTCCCTTTCATTATTTAATTTGCTTTGACTGGATTATTCATGGAAGTGATGCCATGCATTCAAAGAGTCTGGATTTTCTTTATTCACATTTACAATCTTCTACAAAAACTAGTTCAATGAATTGTGAAAAGAGAACTTCAAAGGAAATCTTTATTTTTAAAGTGAGTTAATTTTAAAATTAACCTGTCTTTGGCATATAATGATAATAAAGAAATAAAAATGCACTGTTTTTACTTCTGGCATTCGTCCAAGGTGAGCACATGTGGATGGTCATCCTCTGACATGGTGATGACAGCCTCCTTGTCAAAGGCTCCGGGCCGAGTCTGGTCCACTGTGTGTCTGGTGATGGATGAGGTAGTGGAGCTGGTCCAGTACAGTGTATCCCAGGCTCGGTGATAGGCAAGGCCTTCCACAGAACCCACATCTGATGGAAGAAAGAATACATTGACACTTTTATCTACAAAAGACTTCACTTCTGGACAGAAAAAACATTTAAGATACATATGTATACCTATATGATATTTTATTAATCATTTCTTCACAACTTCTTCAAAATAAAACTGTAGTAATTGCAATGCTTATAATTGATAGTTGATTATACACAGCATGATTGTGCTGTAAACTACTCATGGGAACAGATTTTTGTAAGAACATCATTTAAGACTGAATCTTCTCATTCAAAAAAAAAAAAACAACTCAGTTAAGTAATTGGCATTTATTTAGGAAAATGGTGGCTGTCTTTTATTTTCATATATTAAATATTAATTTTCAACAAGTATCCAGTTGTAACAATTTAGAGATACTTTTGAAAATCATAAGGCAGATATACCATTCAGGTAGAATCATAATAAGTTTCCTCTTGATATTATATCTGGAGATGTCAAGGAAAAGCAAACGTATAAAAAATTACAATAAAGTACAATAGTATCAAGAAGCCAACATCTAACTCCACCCTTGCAACTCAGTCAGAGATAGAGAATGTTTTAGTAAGTTCATGCAGGAAGGTCTTTGATTCTATTCAAATAATATGACCTGAAAACAAAAGAAAATGAAATGAATTGCCAGCTAAGGCATGCTTTAAATGTTAAAGAAAGATAAATGGTAGTATATAGATTCCAGTATATACAAGTGACAATGTGAAAAATGAGTAATTATTGCTTAAAATTGTGCTCCCAATCTCTACAATAACATAGAGTAGCTGTTTTATTTTTCATAGAGGTGCTGGATACATATCCTATACTAGAGGCCCGGTGCATGGAATTCGTGCATGGGAAGGGGTGTCCCTCAGCCCGGCCTGCACCCTCTCGCAATCCAGGACCACTAGCTCCTAAATGCTCACCTGCCTGCCTGATCACCCCTAACCCCTCTGCTTGCCTGCCTGATAGCCCCTAACCACTCGCCTGCCTGCTTGATGCCCCTAACTGCTCACCTGCCTGTCTGATCACCCCTAACCATTCTGCCTTCTGGCCTGATTGCCCCTAACCATACTGCCTGCCTGACTGATCACCCCTAAGTGCTCTCCTGCCTACCTGATTGCCCCTAACCACTCTGCCTGCCTGCCTGATCACCCCTAACTGCTCGCCAGCCTGTCTGATCACCCCAACCGCCTTTGCTTCGGCCCCACCACCACGACTTTGTCCAGAAGACATCCGGAATGATGTCTGGAAGGTCATTTGACTGTCTGGTCTAATTAGCATATTACACTTTTATTATTATAGACTAGAGGCCCGGTGCATGAATTCGTGCATGGGTGGGGTCCGTCTGAGTGGCCTACAGGGATCGGACCGAAACCCGCAGTCCAACGCCACCTGCAGCTCTTATCTGCCACTCCCACTCATCTCGGCCCCACTGTGCCTGCCGTGGGCTCGCACCCAATCAGTCCTGATCAGGAGAGACTCGCACTGCTATAGTAGTGCTCGCCAGCCATGAGCCCTGCATCTGACACCCTCCCAAGGAAAGTGGCCTGGGGGATTGGGCTAAAACCAGCTCTCCAACATACCCCAAGGGGTCCCAGATTGCGAGAGGGTGCAGACCAAGCTGAGGGACCCCACCGGTGCACGATCGGGCCAGGGAGGGACCATAGAAGGGCTCCAGGGCATGTCCGGCCCATCTTGTTCAGTCACGATCAGCCGGACCCCAGCAGCAAGCTAACCTATAGGTCGGAGCATTTGCCCCCTGGTAGTCAGTGCACTTCATAGCGACTGGTCAACCAGTCAACTGTCTGCCCCCTGGTGGTCAGTGCACATCATAGCAAGCGGTTGAGCAGCCTTAACATATTATTAGCATATTACACTTTGATTAGTTGTTCGGTTTTTCTGCCATTCGGTCTACTTGCATGTTACCCTTTTGCTATATAGGATAATAAAACCCTAATATGCAAATCAACCAAAACTGCAGATCGACCGGTCACTATGACATGCACTGACCACCAGGGGGCAGAAGCTCAATGCAGGAGCTGCCATTGGTGGTCAGTGCGCCCCCACAGGGGGAGCACCACTCAGCCAGAAGCTGGGCTCATTGCTGGTGAGCGCAGCGGTGGTGGCCGGAGCCTCTCCTGCCTTTGCGGCAGCACTAAGGACCCCTTTGGGGGTGTCCACCTGTCTGCTTAGGCCTGCTCCCTGCCAGCAGGCAGACATCTCTCAAGAGGTCCCAGACTGCAAGAGGGCGCAGGTCTGCTGAGTGACCCCCCACCCCCAGTGCCCAAATGTCATGCACTGGGTCTCTAGTTTAAGTATAAAAAAAATTATACTTTTGCCTTCATGTTACCCGACCCCTTGGGGGATGTCCGCCTGCCTGCTTAGGCCTGCTCCCCGTCAGCAGGCAGACATCTCTCAAGGGGTCCCAGACTGCAAGAGGGCGCAGGCCGGCTGAGTGACCCCCCACCCCCAGTGCCCAAATGTCGTGCACTGGGTCTCTAGTTTAAGTATAAAAAAATTATACTTTTGCCTTCATGTTACCTGTTTTCCTCAGAGTTATTACTTTTAGCATTTTAAATTTGAGAAAAAATGTGCACAGCTTTAGCAGTCATACTAATAAATTAACATTTAGCAGGAAGGGCCTTTTTGTTGTTTTTCTCTCAAGGAATCTCTGAGAGGAATTATTCAGAAAACAAGTAGATAAAAAGGTTTATTTTAAAGTTTAAAATGGGTAAATATTTAGTTTGGTGGTCAATAGAATTTAATGGGAATAAAAAAATATTAAAGCCATTTGAACTAGATTTATTTAATGAGACTAAACATGTCATTATCCTCTTTTTCTACATGGAATAGAGAAAAATCCACTAATAAAATTAATTGCTACCATTTATTGAGCACTGTATTTCTGCTAGAAAATGTTACTTGCTTTGCATACATCACTTTATGTATAAATCTACTCTGTGAAGTTGGTTTTATTGTTCATCTTGTCCTAAGAAGGAAACTGAAACCTATGGTCACAGAATTGATAGTATTAAAGCAAATTTTTTAGTGCAGATTCATTTGCTTCTAAAAGCCTATATTCTTTAGCACGACTACTAGTATTTAGAGATGAGTTTAAGCACCTAGGACTATTCTCAATCTACACCAAGCTGGAACCAAACAAATGATTCATTCATTTTAAATTGTCTGACTCTGGGTGAATTGTATAACCAGTAATTCACCATGAGTAGCCTCCTCTCACACAGTCAACAAAACAATTTATAATAAATAATGTGGGTGATTAGATTGGAAACTTAAGCCAGAAATGATGGAAGAAAAATTATAAAACATAATCATAATAAAACCTGCTAAGCTCTTTTTATCTGAATCATAATGTGTTCTTATTTGAAGTGAGTAGGTTGGAGGTTGATAATGGCCAAAGGTGTTTCAGTTATTAAATAATAAATCATCTATTCCATGGTATTTTTTGCAATATCAAATCACTTAAGAAATGATTAACTGCATTAATAGTATAAGCAGCATTATATTCCTTCAGAATTCACAGATAGAATGAGAAATGGCATAGTTTAAAATAAATTCTAAGCAAATCAGAATCATTAATCCAGCTTCACTCTGTACCTTCCCCTTTAACTGACTTTGACAGATGTTCATCATGGGAACTTTTTTTCTACAAATTAGAAAGAAATCACTTGGCATCACCATTGAGAGGAAGTTGATGGTTGACCTAGTAACCCTGAGGTTACTAGAGTACATGATACACCTCACCATCCACGTATAATCTCTTTTATTGTATTTTGTAATAGATGACAGCCTGACAGTACACTTAATCATAATCTGATGCTACATTTAAAAATATTTCAGTAATATATGTCTTTCTCAAAAATATCCCAGTCTTTATAATTGTGTTTGTCATTAACGAATTGTCAATTAAACATCTGCCAAATTTTAAAAATCACAAAAAATATTTTACTAGTACTTAAGATAACATAAGATATTTATGTCCATTTTATGGTGATTTAATACAACATGGGGTCATGTGGCATGTGTGTGAGGGCTATGTGTGTATGTGTGTGTGTGTGTGTGTACATTAAGGTTCCTAAATCAGATAAACAGGTGCAATAAGAGCTTTGAATTACTAGTCCTAGCAGATAATTGTGTAGTTTGAAAATTAAAGTAAAATACCTATCTATCTAGTCAACCAGTCCTGAAATATTGAATAGACTAAATCATTACAGAGTTAAACATTCTTGGAACTTGAGGATATAGAATAGACATAATTAAGAAAAAAACTCTAACAGTGCTAATTCAGCAGCTCTGTATGTCTGATGGATAGCTAGTAAAAATACCACCTTCTCACTTCATACACTTTCAAAGTAAAAGAGTCCCCTTCCCTCCCCATCTCCCCTCTTTGATCATGTAATTGGGTTTGGCTAAGCATGAATGAGGTACTAATGTGGCTTTGATAGAAATAAAAAGATGAGATCAATTCATCAAAGATCCAAGGCAGGCAAATAACTCAGAATCATTGCTAAACTAATTTGCTGAATTCTAGTTTTCACAGCAATGAGTGGCAAAATTGATCCTACTAGTCTGTCGCATTGACACCAACCACTGCTCTACAGCTACTCAGAAGAGTTCACAGAGATCATCACTGAAGTAGGAACAGTGGCTCCTTCCTGCCCGTACAGTGTTCTGAAGGCAGGATAAGGGCTTATGGGATGCAAGTGGCAGTAAAGGATGTGCTTGGAAGGGAGTCACATATACAAAACATTGAATTCATTGGCTGGAAAAAGTTATGGATAAATACTGCTACAAAGTTAACAGAAATAATACTTATCTCAAGAACATGCTATAACAGTAAAGTGTCACAATGGCCTTCCTGTTGAAAGGGTACTAATCCCTATACACTGGCTTCTTTTCTAAAGTCAAGGAGTATCATAAAGCTTCCTATTTGAAGATTGGTACAGAGTTTAAAATAAGAAGTTTCTGGGTGCAACATTCCATATCA